AAGAAACATTTCGCTGCAAATGACTGAGTTGAGGGAGTGCAGTTCACTGGTTCACCCACATACAGCATGGCGGATACACAGGTATAGCAAAGGCCGGACCCCCGAAGAAGACATTGCTCAGCCAGTGTCCAGTGTCTTGAATCCGTTCACCTTACTTTATCTTCTCTTCCCGGGTGCAGTCGCTGCCCTGGCCTGGCACACCAGCACATCCACGTGGTGGGCTATGCTGTCGAAGTGTTGTGCCTGGAGGCGGGTGAGGCCCCTTCAGCAAGTAAGGCCACCGCCCACCAAAAGACAAACCTGAAAACTTAAAGCACTGTAGTTTGCAAGGTCTTTGAGTTCTTGAAGGGTGCTGAGAGACTGTCCACGGAGCTTCCAGGGTGGCCCCACCATAGACACAATTGAACGGTGCATGTTCCACTAAACAGCCAAGTGAGTTCAAAGTAAATGAAATGCAGTGTAATGCGGTGTTTCACCCAGGTCACTTGGGACTTTAGAGGCAATACTTATGCGGTAATATCTATCTTAGGATGATGGGGGAATTTGGGGGGAGGCAGCCGGTCACTTGAGGAGTTCTCTGGTGTATGGGGCAGAATGAGGGCCTCCAGGTGGGACTCTACGAACTGAGATGTCCTGAAGGTCCAAAGCACATCACATGATAGCCAGAGTTGGACTAATGTCGGGTCAGTTCATGCTCAACACATTAGAAGCACGGCATGTCGAAGCAACACTCGCATCCCTCAGATTAGCCAGATTGGCCAAAAAAAAGCAGAACGTGACTTTCCAAAACAAATCGCTGTTCACAACCCGCCCCTTAATGAACACACAAAGAACCTGCAAACCTCTTTTCTCATTGTGCAAAAGGAACTGTAGTCGCACAGATTCCGAAGGCAATGGTGGGGAAACAACATATAAACGAACGTTGAACTATTATTGGTCTTTCTCGCGCCCTTGCACACTTCACATGATGCAAGCAGCCTGTCCCCAGGCTTGAGCAGCTGGCTTTCACACAGTTCATTTTAACATGACATCGACCCCCCTGGAGGTTCGTTGCGGCCGGATAACATGCGCACCGTAAAGTTCACACATTCAAATCTGGCAGCTGCCGTCGGGCGTTGGCTCCAAATCAAGAACGTCAGGACCGTCATTAGCAGCAACATCATGTATGATATGTATGTGACGTGCTTGTAGCACCAAAGCTGGATGGGACAAAGAATAGAGGACTTACATGCAGAGTTGCAGTGACATGAAATCACCAAAGAATAGTTGCAAGAGGTTGACAGCCCCATGCCTCCATCTTGTGGAGCATTTCGTCAAGGGCCTCCCTGACATCCAGCACACTTTGGTTGCAGCAAACATGTATCCTTTGCCCATCATCCTGCTCTTTCAAACCTGTGAGGCTGAAGCGGACTTGGCCACCAGGATGCTTCAAAAAATGAACGCCGAAAGGGCTGTAGATTGCAAGCCACAGTTCATCAAATAGATCGCAGTCACGAACACCGGCACATGCACATTTGATGTTCGAGAAGGAGCAACGCCAGCACCCTGGCACTTTGTGGTAACACATTTGCGCGTTTTTGAATTCGACCCTCACTCCTGAACGAACCCAGTCCACTTCGGATTTGGACGAATTTCGTGAAAATGAGCATTGTGGATTCAGAATTTGATCCAGTTCAAAGGCAATTTCCTCAATACACAAACCACGAGACCTTGGCGTCATATGCTTCAGCGGAACGCCCTGGTATGCGTCGTCCTGGCGTGATTTCACTCTGTCCATTTGCTTTCTCAGCCAGTTCCTGACCTCAACACCGGATAAATCTATTTGAGCCATAAGTTTGCAGCGACCTGGAGCCAGGAACTTGTCGAGAATTTGGGACAGTGCAATTTGCCAACTGTCTTGCAATCTAGCACCCGTGACCTCAATGTCATGACCACTGATTCCTGTTCGCTTGCCAGCTGCAGAAACTCCGGTCTGAAGGTCATGCTTGATGATGTACAAGCTATCTGGGCTAAACAGTGTGAGATACAACTCATCAAATGGAGCCCGATCCCGAAAACCTGGCCACGGCAGCTTAACTTGTTTGAAACTGACGCGCCAGCGCCTCCTTGCTTTGTTCCAAGACATCTGTGCACTTTTTTGCACTCAATTTTCCGGTCGTCCAAAGTGAAATCATACAGGGCGTTGTTGGCAGACCTAGGTGCTCCATTACAACAAGCCCCTTGACTAGGCTCTGTGATCATGCTGTGCGGATGTAGTCCGGCCAGTTCCTTTTTGCAAAGCTCTTGCATGATCATCCCGCGTCGCTTTCCAAACAGCAAGGACAGTTCATGGCCAGCGCGACCCAAATAGGCCTGGCTGGTCCGCCCAGGATCGTTCAAAATGTGCTCAAACTGCGAAGCACTGAGCACCAAGCATCTCAACTGCCATCCAAACAAAACCGTAAATATGAGGACTACAGGCACAACTGGCCGCAACATTGCGGCCTTCGAATCAGAATTCCGCACTGCACTACAGTTCACCTTGTAAAGCAGTTCATCTCAGAAGGACTTCAGGTTTAGGGACCGACACATCAGGACCAGAGCCGGAAACAAACATGTACATACAAATAATATACACATCATGTTGAATATAATCAAATGTTTAGGTTTTGCGGGGTCAGTGGTTGGTAGTCATATAGGTTGGGTGAGTGTTCCCATGGCCTTCAAAGCATTTGAGGCATGTAGTAATTTTGATTGTTCGGTTGGGTAGGCTTCGCTGAGCTTAATGGGGTCAGTCCGAAAAAAACTGCTTCATGCACTGAAAGCATTGCACTGCTCTTGGAGCCAAACTCAATGCATGGACTGAGCAAGAAATGCACGGACTGAACTCTCGTGTTGCAAACATGGAGCCACTCATTGTAGCTCAGTATCATGACACTAGGATCACTAGGAACAACGGCAACCCCCCTGGATCCCACTAACCTTTCCTCTGTATAGACACCGCCTTCGCTCTCACAGTGGGACATCACCACAGCACGGCCGTCCCTTCGCCCCGCCTAGCGCCTTTCCAGCAAAAAGATCGCCGCCTCTCTGGTGGCGACCTTGGTGACACAATGGCCACGCGTGAGCAAACCAAGTCCGGTGATTCATGAGCGGCTATGGGAAAAAACAGGCTGCGTAAAGACCGTGTCACATAGCATATGTCGTAATCCTGTTTGATGGTGGCTCTTGGGCTTGCAATCCCTCTTGCATATGGTTGGGAAGTTGGGAAATGTCAGTTTACTTGGCTCCTGTGATCTATCAGTGTCTAAAAATGTTGAACAAGGTCAAAATCCCTTCAATCTTTGCTGCACTCTGCCATCCATGCCCACAGAAACCGCTGCACTACAAGGCCGTCCCAAATGGCCTGCAGGTCCAAGTGTTGTTCGGGGGGCGTTGCGCAAAAACTTGCCATTGGAACTCCCTGCCACTGCTGCGTGGTATGTTTGAAGATGGATGGCTTGCCCAACCGAGGACACTGCTTTCCAATGTCATCCTGCTAGGGATTCTCACCCATGCCAGCTGGGTGGTGGAGATAAAAAACGACCAAGCTTGACTTGAACTGGCACTGGCACTTTTCCCACATCCTGGGCTACAATCCAAGAGGGTCGCACAACCCAGCCTCAAACGTACTCCACCACTGAAGTAGATCCCATTGCGAGATTCGGTCCATCCATTACTTGACTCCGCAGGTTCTTCTGCCCCCTACTCGTCCCTCCATGCTGGAATCAACAGGCTTTAGGGGCGGGGATAAAAGAAGACCACCCATAGATCTGAGGCAGGTGTTCTGACATCGACTTCGAACCCAAGAGGCTTGTGTAGAAGGACCTTCTTCAAGTCGATCCAAAAGGAGCTCTCTGGCTTTCCTGCGCCAATCAACTGAAAGCACTTAAAGAGCCCAGCCCAACAAGAGAGAGCTGAAGTATCCTACACCAGCCCTGCGATCAAAACTCCATCGTGGTTCAGGGCTCTGTGTGTGTGTGTGTGAAAGGTCAGGACACAGCTTGCGCTACAGGAAATTGGCTAGGATAGACAAAACTATCCGTCCTAGCCGCAAAGTGTCATGCATGAAAGTGAAAGCAAGCTCGCGCACTGTTTGCACGAAAGCGACCGAGAGGTTCTGGTCCCATAAAATCTTTGTACACATCTCCTGCCGCCTCAGCTAGGTCCTAGGTCGACAAAATGTGTACACTTGGTCACTTGGTGTGACCACCACAGCTACAAAAAAAAGGAAGCATGCTGAAGGGCTGCTTTGGCAACTGGAACGAACCTGGCATCCCAAAGAACCGTGGCCAGAGGCTGGCAGCCCCAATCAACTTCCGCCTTTTTCAGCATGTGGTGAAGCGCCTCCTTGACGTCAAGCACATGTCTGGGTGCAGAAAGCCTCAGGTGTTTTCCACGTGGGTGCGAATATATTTCTGGATTTTTTTTCGTTTTTTTTTTTTTGTTTTTCGTGTTTCGTGGCAGGTGCAGTACTTTGTGGACCTTGCAAAGCACATTTCGTGGCAGGTGCAGGACTTTGTGGGCCTTGGAGTGCAGAGTTTGTGGCAGGCGCAGGACTTTTGGTGGGCCTTGAAGTGCAGATTTCGTGGCAGGTGTAGTACTTTGTGGCCCTTGGAGTGCAGATTTTGTGGCAGGCGCAGGACTTTGTGGACCTTGAAGTGCAGATTTCGTGGCAGATGCAGAACTTTGTGGGTGTGGAAGTGTAGAGTTGGTGGCAGGTGCAGGACTTTGTGGGCCTTGGAGTGCAGATTTCGTGGCAGGCGCAAGACTTTGTGGACCTTGAAGTGCAGATTTCGTGGCAGGTGCAGTACTTTGTGGATGTCGAACTGCAGAAAGATAGAAAGATAGAAAGATAAATTGATAGATAGATAGATTAGATTAGATTGGATAAGATTAGATAAGATAAGATAAGATAAGATAGATAGATAGAGGAGGCATATTTGCTTGGTTAGAAAGTTTTGCACCGGGGAGTTCACCTTAAAATATTGATTTCGTGGCAGGCGCGGGTGTCGGGGATGAAGTGCAGATTTCGTGGCGCGGGGGGGCGCAGCGCCCCCCCCCAGCAGCACACCAGATCCAAAGGTGAGCAGCTCGTGCTTGCTTGCTTGCTTGCTTGCTTGCTTCCTTGTTTGGTTTCGTCTCTGCAACGAAAACAACAGGAAAAGCAAATACAAAAAGAGAAAGGAGAACAGCTGCCAAAAGAAAGAAAGAAAGATAGATAGATAGATAGATAGATAAATAGATAGGTATAGACAAATAGATGGATAGGCCAAAAAGCCAAAAGCCACAAAAGCCAAAAGCCACAGAAGCCACGAAAGCCACGAAAGCCAAAAGCCCACAGAAGCCAAAAGCAACAAAAGCCAGAAGCCACAGAAGCCAGAAGCCAGAAGCCACGAAAAACAAAAAAAAATCCAAAAAAGAAACAAAAAAAAATCCAAAAATAAATACACCTCCTTTCCACGTGGGCCCTGCATCATGCTTGGGTCGAAGTTGCCAGGATGTTTCAGGAAGTGCAGGCCAAAGGGGCTGTAGATGGCAAGCCAAAGCTCATCAAAAAGATTGTGTTCTCGAACATTAGCACCTGCACAGTGGATGCTGGAAAAAGTACAGTGCCAACACTCCCTGTCCAGATGAAAAAGCATCTGTCCATGCTTGTTTTCCACTTTCACATCTCCACGAACCCAGTCTACGTCGGAAGAAGATCTGGAAAACTGAAAAGACACATTTGGATGGAGAATCTGATCCACTTCGAATGCTATCTTCTCAATTTGAAAGCCACGCAGCTCTGGCCGTGTGTGGTTCAGCGGTGACCCCTTGTATTCGTGGTCCTGCTGCGCTGCCATTCCTTCCATTTGCTGTGTCAGGAATGCCCTCACTTCTGTGGCTGATAAATCTATGTGAGCCACAAGTTCGCAGTGTCCTGCAGCCAGCAACTTGTCAAGAATTTGAGACCGTGCACTTTGCCAACATTTTTGCCCTGCAGCACCTCTGACAAAAATCGAATGACCACTGCTTCCTGTTTGCTTTCCAGTTGTGGAAACTTTAGTCTGAAGATCATGCTTGATGATGTGCAAACTATCCGGGCTGGAAAAATGAGATACAACTCATCAAATGGAGCTTGATCCCGAACACCTAGCCGTGGCAGCTTGATGCTGGAAAAATGGAAGTACCAACACTTCCCGCTGTTGTTCCAAGACATCTGTGAACTTTTGCACTCAACTTTCCGACCATCCATGGTAAAGTCGTACTCGGAGTGGTAACGTGACCTGCGAGTTCCATCGCAGCGGGTGCCTTCAGTAGGCTCTTCAATTTTGCTGCTCGGTTTCATCCGCGCCAGCTCCTTTTTGCAAAATTGCTCCAGGATTTTTCCACGACGCTGCCCGGACAGCAGGGATAACTCATGTCCGGCATTTCCAATGTAGGCTTGGCTGGTCAAATCTGGCTTTTCAAGGATGTGCAGGAACTGCGAGGCACTCAGGACCAAAGGCCTCCACTGTTGCCATCGGAAACCAAATGGACATGCTGGCAAAGCTGTACGCAGCATGATGATTTTGAGCCAGGATTCCTCGCTGATTCGCTGATGCAAGGTACCTCAATCACATTGACACAATAGACGTCCCTCAGCTTCAGTTGAAGCTCCACAAACGGTATTTGCAGGACGTGCAAATTAATAAACAGGTGCACTTCGAGTCTGAGTGGTGTAGTGTGTGGTTTTCTTATGTCTTATGTGTTCGAGGCCTGAAGTCGTTGAGTAGCATTCAACATCCATGCCAGAGTTGACCCCAAAGGACCACTCCTTGGACGCTTTTGCCAGTCAGTTTCCAGGCAAACAAAGCATTCAATTATATTCACTTAGTGCTGACATGGTCGCCACAGCTAGGACAAAAAAACTGACTGTAACGTTTCCAGCATGCCCTGCTCTGGCATATCTTGCTATAGCCGCGGTGTGCAACAACCCTTCATACAGCTAAGGGGCGACGATTTTCTGAAGAGATTCGGCAAGGTCAAAAGACACATTTCGCTGCAAATGACTGAGTTGAGGGAGTGCAGTTTACCAATATAATATAACTAATTACACAGCATGGCGGATACACAGGTATCAGCATCCTCTGCCTGCAAAGGCCTGATCCCTGAAGAAGACATTGCTCTGCCAGGGTTTTTTGAATTTCTTCACCTTACTTTCTCCTCTCGTCCGGGTGCATTCACCCTGGCCTGGCCCACCAGCGCATCCACGTGGTGGGCTATGCTGTCGAAGTGCCTGGAGGTCACTCAATTGAAGACCCTTCAGCAGGTGAGGCCACCACCCACCAAAAGACAAACCTGAAAACTTAACGCACTGTAGTTTGTAAGGTCTTTGAGTTCTTGAATGTTTTTGATGCGTCCATCTTAAGGGTGCTGAGAGACTGTCCACGGAGTTTCCAGGGTGGCCCTACCATAGACACAATTGAACGGTGCATGTTCCACTAAACAGCCAAGTGAGTTCAAAGTAAATGAAATGCAGTGCAATGCGGTGTTTCACCCAGGTCACTTGGGACTTTAGAGGCAATACTTATGCGGTAATATCTATCTTAGGATGATGGGGGAATTTGGGGGAGGCAGCCGGTCACTTGAGGAGTTCTCTGGTGTATGGGGCAGAATGAGGGCCTCCAGGTGGGACTCTACGAACTGAGATATCACATGATAGCCAGAGTTGGACTAATGTCGGGTCAGTTCATGCTCAACACATTAGAAGCACGGCATGTCGAAGCAACACTCGCCTCCCTCAGATTAGCCAGATTTGCCATAAACATCAGAAAAAAACTTTCCAAAACAAGTCGCTGTTCACAACCCGCCCCTTAATGAACGCACAAAGAACCTGCAAACCTCTTCTCTTGCACTAGTAGCTTTGTGCAGAAGGAACGATAGTCGCACAGATTCCGAAGGCAATGGTAGGCAAACAATATTTACAAACGTTGAACTATTGGCATTTCGGTCTTTCTCACGCCCTTGCACACTTCACATGATGGAAGCAGCCTGTCCCCAGGCTTGAGCAGCTGGCTTTCACACAGTTCATTTTAACATGACACCGACCCCCCTGGAGGTGCGTTGCGGCCGGATAACGTGCGCATCGTAAAGTTCACACATTCAAATCTGGCAGCTGCCGTCCGGCATAAAGCCTAACAAAAAGGCATCTTTAGGGCGTTGGCTCCAAATGAAGACCGGCATTAGGAGCAACATCATGTATGCGACATAATGTTGCACCACAGCTCGATGGGACAAAGAATAGAGGACTTACATGCAGAGTTGCAGTGGCTCTGAAATCACCAAAGAATAGTTGCAAGAGGTTGACAGCCCCATGCCTCCATCTTGTGGAGCATTTCGTCAAGGGCCTCCCTGACATCAAGCACATTGAGGCTGGAGTAGACCCGTATCTGTTGCCCAGAATCCTGCTCAATCAAACCTGAGTGGCTAAAACGGACTTGGCCACCAGGATGTTTAAACACATGGATGCCACGGGGGCTGTAGATTGCAAGCCAAAGCTCATCAAATAGGTCGCAGTCACGAACACCATAGCTAGCGCACTTGATGTTCTGGAATGAACACCGCCAACGCTGCCGCTTTTGATTGAACAGCATCTGCCCGTGCTTGATTTCCACTTTGACCCTTCCGCGAACCCAGTCTACTTTGGACGATGTTCGCAAAAAGGAACAATTTGGGTTGAGAATTTGATCCACTTCGAATGCCATCCGCTCGATTTGCAGGCCACGTAGCTGTGGCGCCATATGGTTCAATGGCACCCATTGGTATACGTGGTCCTGGCGCGTAGTCAGCCTTTCCATTTGCTTTGCCAGCCAAGTGCGGACATCAAAAGCGGACAGATCCACGCAAGACACAAGTTCGCAGCGACCTTTTGTCAGGAAGCTCTTCAGAATTTGAGACCGTGCAGTTTGCCAGCATTCCTGTCCGGGTGCAGCGCGGACATAAATGCTATGACCACCGCTTCCTGTTGATTTGCCAGCTGAGGTAGCTCCAGTCCGAAGGTCATGCTTGATGATGTGTAAGCTGTCTGGGCTGAACAGTATTAGGTACAAATGGTCGAATGGCGCCTGGTCGCGAAATCCTGGCCATGGCAGCTTGACACAACGAAAGAATACGCCCCAACGTTTTTCCGACCTCCTCCAGGTCAATTGCGCACTTTTGCATCTAATTTTGCCACCATCCATGCTAAAGTCATACTCCGCCTGTGAAGCCGACCTTGGAGCTCCATTACAACGAGTCCCTCGAGTAGGCTCTTCAATTTTGCTGTTGGGGTTTAGGCGCACCAGCTCCATTTTGCAAAGTTCTTGCAGGATCGTTCCGCGGCGCGCCCCGGACAACAAGGACAATGTATGTCCGGCATGACCCGCAAAAGTCTCGCTGGTCCGCCCGGGATCATTCAGAACATGCTGGAACTGCGAGGCACTCAGCACCAAACATCTAGACTGCCATCCGCCACGCAACCAGAATACACTTGCTGGAGGCACGGTTGACCGCAACATCATGGCTTGAAAGCAGAATTCTGCACTAAATGCACTCCAGCTCACCATAGAAAACAGCTTAGCCAAGCAGGACTTCAGGTGAAGGGGTTCATGCACCAGGACCGAAGCTGAAAAGAACACTGTCGTTGGATTTATTTGGTCATTAGTGGGTCGTCATATAGGTTGGATGAATGTCCCAATTAATGTCCATCTGCAGAGCCTGAACATCTGGGGAGTTTTGGACTTCCTTATTCGTAGGGTGGGCTTGACCGAGCCTGAAGCAGCCATGAACTTTCCTCTGTTTACACCTCCCTCGATCTTACGGCGGGACATCACCGCAGCACAGACGGGCATAGATGGCAAAGTGCGGCAAACATTCAAAGATTTTGACACCATGCGACACCTGCTATGTTACGTGGTCTTGCTTTTCAATAGCTCCCAAAAACGGACTTGTTTTGCTCACACTTGGCCAACGGGTCACCAAGGTCAGCACCAGAGAGGCGGCCGCTTTTTGCTGGAAAGGTGCTAGGGTCTTGCGCTCGGGCGAAGAACCTCCCCGGTCGATGTGCTACCGCTCGCGTTGCAAAGAGATCGTTGCGCAAGCGATGGCCACATGGAACTCCCTGCTGCTACTGCAAGGCTTGTTTTGAAGATGGATGACTGGCCCAACCACTGTTTTCAAAGGCTATCCTCCCACAAAGTATCATCCCTGTGGATACCCGTGCCTTGCGCTGGCACTGTTACCACGACATCCTGGGCCATGGGCTACAACTCCCGAGCAGCGCAGTGCAGCCTAAACGCAGCCCATCCACTCAATCCCTTCAAAGATGGAACAAAAGGCCATCTAAGCAAGCCATCGCGCTTGACTTTGAAGATTCCCCTGCCCCACTCAACAGGCTTGACATTGCATCTGAAAGGGCTCATGTAGAAAACCAGCTGCTTGTCACCAAGTTCGCACCTCTTCTCTTCATATCCACGTCAGGAAACCTATAATATATTTCAGGTGTTGTGACATCGACTTCGAACCCAAAAGGTCCACGAGTCTCATGCCGAAGGGCACCCGTTCTCCGCCATGGCCCGGCCTTCAAGTCGATCGCAAGGGCTCTCTCGCAATCAGGGCCTCAATGACCTGCACGGTGATGCTTGCTTGGGCTGTGGTTGAACCCCTGAAGGATCTGTTGAACCTAACCTCTGGAGGTGGAGATGCGCCGTGTGACTCTAAATCCAAAGGTTGATGCACAGATTCAACAAGTGGTGAGCAAAAGGGGGGTGAATGATCTGCCTTCACACGAGTGGCACCGGCAGCTCACCGGCATGGGCCACTAACTTGAACAGCCTTTCTTTGCAGAGCCCATTTTGACACGAAAGGCCTTGGCATTCTGATTGGGCAGGATGCCATGCAGTCGGGGCAGTGTTAGCGTATTGATTTCCGGCGGCTGCCATCACTATGATTAGTGGAGGAAGTGGCCTTGTAGATTTTACCTTTCGCTGCTAAAGGACCCCCATCGGGATCATCCCTCAGCCGGAAAAACAAAGAAAGGGGCATGAATCACCAAAGAATTGTTGCAAGACGTTGGCAGCCCCATTCCTCCATCTTTTTGAGCATGTCGTCAAGGGCCTCCCTCACATCAAGCAGTTTTTGGCTGCCCAGGACATGCATTTCCTTTCCGACAGCCTGCTCTTTCAAACCTGTCAGGCTGAAACGGACTTGGCCACCAGGATGCTTCAGAAAATGAATACCGAAAGGGCTGTAGATTGCGAGCCCAAGTTCGTCAAACAGGTCACACTTGATGTTTCTGAATGAACACCTCCAACGCCTCCGCCCTTTGTCGAACCGCATCATCCCATGCTTGACTTCCACTCTGACCTCTCCACGAACCCAGTCTACTTTGGAAGACGTTCGTGAAAATGAAGAATTTGGATGAAGAACTTGTCGATCCACTTCAAAAGCTATTTCTTCAATTCGCAAGCCACGTAGTGCTGGTGTCATTTGGCTCAATGGCACCCGCTCGTACTCAGTGTCCTGGCGTGTTGCCAATCCTTCCATTTGCTGTGCCAGAAAGGCCCTTGCTTTCGTGGCTGATAAATCTATGCGAGCCACAAGTTCGCAGTGACCTGGAGCCAGCAACTTGTCGAGAATTTGAGATCGTGAAATTTGCCAACATTCTTGTCCGCGAGCACCTCGGACAGTAATCTCATGACTACTGCTTCCTGTTCGCTTGCCAGCCGTTGTAACTCCAGTCTGAAAATCATGCTTGATGATGTGCAGGCTGTCTGGGCTGAACATTATGAGATACAAATCATCAAATGGCGCCTGGTCCCGAAAACCTGGCCATGGCATTTTGACGGCATGGAAGTGTACATGCCAACACTTCAGAAACTTGTCCCAAGACATCTGTGCACTTTTGCACTCAATTTTACGAACATCCAAGGTGAAATCATAATCTGCATCCAAGGCTGACCTGCGAGCCCCATTGCTGCGAGTCCCTTGGGTAGGCTCTTCGATTGTGCTATGCGGATGTAATCGCGCCAGCTCCTTTTTGCAAAATTCTTGCAGGATCGTTCCACGGCGCTTTGCACACACCAACGACAGTGCACGGCCAGCATGATCTGCGTAGGCCTTGCTGGTCTGACCAGGATCGTTCAGAATGTGCTGAAGCCTCGAAGTGCTCAACACCAAACACTGCAACTGCCATCCAAAAACACATGCAATCAAAGTTGCTACTGACACGCGTAGTAGCTGCAGCATTGTCGCTTGGAAGCCATATATTCCTCGCGTGACACCCCTCAAGATCCGGCACTCCAGTTCACCGTTGAAAAGGGCTGAGCCAAGAAGCGCGGTCAGCTGAATGTGGTTCCAGTGGACCAGGGCCAATATCAAAAAAACACGTCCAACACCCACCCCTCCCCACCCGGGTCATGAGAGGTGCATTGGGTGGATTAGCTTTGGTTCTGATGAGCCTGACCAAACGCGCACAGAATGATAAAACAGGTGCAACAGCTAATCCCCGAACGACATTCCTACAGCAAAGGGGTCATGCCGCCCATGAGTCTGCATAACATGTCTTCTTCCAATCTTGCCACTACCAAACTTTAACGCAGAACACCTTCGACAATACCTTTCAGGAGAGTGCAGCCAGCACTATGCACCAGGAGTTAGCTGGCACAACACCTTGTTGTGTTTTCAGCAGGGTTTGGTCAAAGGTCCGACTGCATGTGAACATGCTTTCCTTTTTGGCTCTGCTGAATTCTGACCCTTTTTGGGGTGGGGCCAGGCATCACAGAAGCAAAGGCTCTGTCGAAAAACTTTCTTGAGGGAAGCAATCCACCACCACTAAGTCTCATCAAGTCCCTCAAACAGATGCAAGCAAGATCAAGCAAGAAAATTCCCTCATCAGTGCACCATGCACCATGCACCATTCTCTTTACATCACCATGCGCCATCGCCCACAATATCTACAATGTTGTCTTGTTCTGCTCACAAAAACCTTCCCCCGGAAATTCCTTGGGCATCAACTCCCACATCTTCGCATCAGCCAGGTCATCAAAAGGGAAACCAGTTCCTCATGATTCCCCAAAAAGCTCGGTGACAGGTACTGTCACATGACCCGACTTCGGGGCCCCCACAGACTCATGAGGAAGGACAGGTTCCCCGCGATTTTCAAGGACTTGGCACACCAATCGCCTCCACCAATCGCCTGGCGGCCCGGAGTGGACATGCAAAGATGGGTATGGTGGCCCATTCCTATTGCAAAAAACTCCGGTTAAGTTAAAGCAAGTCAGGTAAAGTCAGTGCATCGGCACGGCAAATGGTAGATGTTGATGAGTCTCGAAAAATCTACACCAAAAGAAGTTGAAGTGGTACTGGTAATTAAAGTGCTCCTGAGTGGGAAACGGACAGCCCCACTAGGTGAAACAAAACTAGCTAGGAAAGAGTTTGAGAGAATAGTTGGTGACTGTTTTTTGCATTGCTCTGCATCCTGCCGCAGGGCACGGTCACACACCCCAGTTGATTGAGCGAGGTGGGTGAACTAAAGGACTTCAGGTGAAGAACTTGATTAATAGTATTAATAGTATCCAGTATCCACACCAATCTCCCAGGTGTGAGTACATGTCTCCTAAGTTCTTCATGTCCATAGGCAAGTGGGTGACATCAAACCTTTTGGGCCATCTCTCTGACAAAACCGGTCATCACTTCAGGTCTGGTTGAACGTGACGTATCTGAACATTGAGATGTGGACTGGATGCATGCGATGGATAGGTTTCTGCGCGTTTCTTTTTGCACATGTTCCAAGGGTCAAGGGTCTGGAGCCTGATGAATTCCATCCAAGGAACAGCTACCCGCCTGCCCACAGTCTAACCAATCCTATCACACCGCTTTAGGATCGCACAAGTGAAAGCCGAACCCAACAATAGAGAGCTGAATGCCCTACAACAGCCCGGCAACCCCAAGACACATCCATCCGCTCTCTGCTTGGGTCGTGGTTCAGGGCTCTGCGGGTGGAAGGTCGGAGCACAGCTTGTGCTACAGGAAGCTAGTGAAGATAGACAAAACAAAAAAAAACTACTCATCCTAACGGCTCAGTGCATGAACGAGAGTGAAAAAAGGTAAGCTTGAGCAACTTTTGCGAACTCTTTGCACAGAAAATGGCTAAGGGCTTCTGGTCCCACGAAATCATTGGTATACGTCTCTTGC